AATGACCCAAACTGTTTTTAAACTGGCAAATGAGGAGCAATGTGTTAGGCATATTGTTCCACATCCTTCCTGGATACCATAAAACTAATCAAGTATGTTGCATATTGTGGCTTTACCAGCATCAAAGCCCTATGATTTGCAGAGTAATTCCCTAAGTCCCAAATATAAGCCTAGCTGTAAAGTTAGAATGTGAGTAGCATTTATGGACACAGAAATGCATTCATTCCTGTATGCACATATAGCCTTTTTTTGATATTCAGAATTGGCATAATTTGACAAAGTTTATTTAAATGCATATTACAACTAATTTGGTTCTAGCAAGAATAGAAAACACTTGCAAGCTTAGGAATTTTCTTTAGAATTTTTCTTTTAAAGCAAGTTAGCTGACAAACTTCGGTAAGGGCTCTGGGCTGGCTACTTGCAATGGAAAGGTTGTGTTAATAGTAGTATTCAAAAGAAAACAGTGAGGCATGCAATAAATACTATGTCTGTGCTTTTATATTTCCTCCTATTTTAAAAGCACGGCACTGCTCTCTGTTCCTTTCACTTGTGTCACCCAGCATTCAAGACTAGATAGAACTCAAATGAGGATATCACTGAAAATGTTAATGCACTGGTAACCCTATTCCACTATGCTCTGCAGTAGTCTCACTTATAGCCTTCCTCAATAAAGCTCAGTTCCCAAAGGTACTAAGATTGTGACTCTCTAGAATCTTGCTCACATCTTCCCAACAGTAATATATTGAACAAAGACAGAAAACAAGCTATTGCTGCTCTCAGGTTTTCACATACAAGTGACTTTAAAGGCTAATAGAATTTAAAAGGCCTCAGTAACTTCAGAGTCACTCAGGATATTGCAGCTCTCTAAAATATTCCTGTCATGGCTCCTTCCCCACTCTGGCACGATGAATGTACCCCAAAAGTACCCCAAAACCTTATCTACCAGGCTTCTGTATAACACTTCCCCCAAAAATCTTAAAACCCTAGATTTTAGGGATAGAATCTCTACTGCCACCACCCAAGTATTGATGTGAAAAAAAATCAGGGGAGAGATTACTTGGGAAATCTCAGCCCTAAAGTACAAAGCAGGACACCACCATTAACCAATACCAGGTTAATAAAAAGAAAAGAGAAAACTTTTATTATCACCACAATAGTCCTGTTGCAAGCATAATGATTAGATGGAAAAGTAACAACATATACTTCTGAAGAAACTCCATGGGCCTAGAACTTAGTTACAAAGAAAAGCCAAAACATCTTTTAAAAAGCGCACAGGCAGCAGATCCCATGCCCAAACCATAAAACAATAAAATCTAACGGATTTATCTAAACTTTACCTGACTTACAGAGAGTGAAGAAAGAGTCTTTTCTTGGAGGGAGACATAGTTTCTGTCCCCCTCAATAGCTGGAGAGAACTGCCCAGGACAAAGGAGAGGGGAAAACCAAAAATTCCGTTGTCCCAGTTTGAAATTCCTACCTACCTTCCTATTGGCCACTCCACCTGGGTAGGTAAGGGACATAGTTAACCCCTTAGTCCCTGGGTTGCTGGCTAACCCTCATGATCATGACAATTCCTCACACAGCTCTGCTGGTGGGACTCTCTCCCTTAGTCTCCTGCATCACACTCTGTCCACTTCTTTTGCATCCAGTTGAGAGAATGGTTTCTCGGGAAGCTTTTGGCACTTGGGGCCAGCCAGATGTTGCTTAACTGCCTCAAACAGGCAGTAGGGGTACTGCCCCCCAGCCAGAGTGCAATCCCTTCTGCAGCTCCCAGGGCACAAAACTGCTGTGCTGCCCCACTCTGTACCATGCTTCGCAGCAGCTGGCCCTGCTGGCTAATGCAGAGCAGTGGAGAATCCTGGCCACAGCACAATGCCCACTGCCAGGGCTGGCAACAGACTTCCCAGGCCCTGGGCAACGTGAAGGAGGGATCAATTCTGTGCCTCCAGAAGGTGAGGAGCCTGGGGCAGAAGGGGCTAGCCTCCCTAAGCCAGCCATTCAGCGCCACCCAGACTGTGCTGCATGAGGCTCTGGCAGTGATTTAAAGGGCCTGGGGCTCTGCCTGCTGCGGGTAGTGGCAGTGGCAACTGGAGCCCCAGGCCCTTTTAAATCCCTGGATCCCATGGCAACTGCCCTCTTTGCCCCATCTTCCCATCAGCAGCCCTGCCCACTGCCTCTGCTGTGGCAGAGAACACCACTGGGGGGTGCTCACAAGGAGCAGTCCCTAAATGCACTTGTGGCTGGCTACTTCACAAGATGCAAAGAAAGAAAAGGTCACTTGTGACCTCTCTCTGCCCCATTTATCACACAGATTGGCCACACTCTGATCAGACTCTCAGCAGCGTTTGTCTACACTTGCTCAACAAAACTTTTGTCATTCACGGGTGCTTACACTTCTAGCAACAGCCCTGTGAGTGAACGCTGGTTGTTGCATTTCTGCTGACAAAATATTTCCACCCTCTACAAGGGGGTTTCATTTTGCCAGCAGCAGAGTGCTCCTGCTGACAAAGCAACATTCACACTCCTGCTTGTCACAGCAAAACTCTGTCTTTCATGGGGGGTGGTGCTTAAGCATCCGTGAACAACAAAAGTTTTGTGGAGCAAGTGCAAGTTTAGACACAGCCTAAGATACCTCAGCTCTATGACATCACAGAGGATTTCAGCCCAGAAGGCTGGCAGTCATGCTTATTTCAGTTCCAGCGCAGACTTCACTGTTTAATGGAAGCAGAAACAGAGACAGGCTATCATGTGGGCATAATGTAAGATTACAAGGGATATACTGAAACTCCTTTGTTTTTGAGGATTAGGTGACAACCTTTTAGCTGCCCATAAAAAGAATACCAGGATGGATTTCTCCCTGATACACAATGTAGGCCTGATGAACTTACTTTACAGTGGATTTTTTGTTCACAATTAAAACACATCATGCTATGTATCACAAGACAGATTCGGTATCCCAAAAGCAATCAACACTACAAAATGAACACATGACTTTGCACTCTTAGTCTTGATAGTGATACGGCTGACATACTCTCTCAGGGATTAATGTACTATGGATTAAAATTAGGGACTAAAAATGAAGCACATTTTCTAACCCGTGGTACTTTGCTGTGCATGTATGTACATGTATGCATTTAAAAGAATTAAAATCTGCTAAAAATCATGCACTTGTTTTTCAGAGTGATGTAGGGGTTTTGCCTTTTGTTTCTAGATTACCAATATGAATTTAAACCAGGTCAATGGAAGTGGGTAGTAATTACCATTTGGCCTAGATGAAAGGAGTTAACCTGGTAGTAGTGACTTTCTCTGTTCTCAGTCCAACTTCTAATAAACAAATGTTCCAGTGAGAAAGGTATTTACCATTCATTTGCACTCTTGCTATCTTTCTCTTCAGAAGGGTAAGTGGTTGAATAGATATTGAAAATTCACTCATGCCCAGAGGTGGTGCCATTAACTCATGGTTGAGGCAGATGGGCTGAGTCAGCTGGAAAAGCTGGCACCTTTGCTGCACATCATCTTACTTTTTTATTTCTATAAATTCCAAATAGTTTCCACAAAACATCAGTCACTTCAGGAATACAGTGGCTAAAAAATGATCAGCTCTCACCAAGACATGCTCTTAGTTTGTTTTCCTGGCAATTAACGGTCTGATCCTTGAGATTTCCAAATGGATCCTTCAGTTTGCCTCTGTCTTTGCTAGATGAAAAGACAGAATTTAAGGACCTGTCTTTAGTCAGTGTAATATCCACTGGTATCCACTGCAGTGGAGTTACTCCCAATTTATACCAGAGTGAGAGGAGAATAAGGCTAATGATTAGCTATGTGATTTACATCACAGAAGGGTTGTGATTGCCCTCATAACACTGAATCCACAGACGCATTTCAGCAGAAATAGAAAGCTAAATTTTCAGTGTCTAATGATTAAAAACTTCATTTTATCTCTCTCTGTGTGGTCCATCACCCATTGATTTTAATAATTCAGTTGATCCTCCCACTAGCAAGATTCCTATGATGACAGGATAGAAACTAATGGATCCCTTTCCAAATGAAGTCTTAAGGGAAGGAAGGCAACTGCCTGGAGTGAATTCTTCCTAAGGTCCAGTGAAATGTATGCCTCCCTTTCCAGTCTGGGAGACTTTGGTGCATTAAATGGAACATAAGTGTTGAGTTATATGGGCCTATGGTGCCTAGATCCCAGGAATATTCCTGGCCTAAGGTCCAGCTCCACCAAAGTTTCGGGCTGGGTCACTCCTCTGGTCCTGTCTGCTACTCCCAGGCATGGGTGGCGAGTTATATGGGCTCGTGGTGCCCATGCTCCACCAATATTCAGAGCCGGAGGCCCTGCTCCAGCAATATTTGGAGCTGAGTCCCTTGGCCCTGCCTGGGGCCACCCCCAACCCCCACCTGCCAGCCCCGCCGCGCATCCTCCCACTCCAGCTCCAGAGCGTCCCCCCTGGGCCCAGACCCAGAGCGTCCCCATCCCCCACGTCCCCGTCCCGTCCCTGTCGTGCGCAGCTTTCAGTCTGGCTCCCACTTGCTGGCTGCTAAGTAGACATAGCCAGAGAGGGCTGTGGATGAGTTATTTCACTTCCCACCACCACCAGTGAGTGCAGGGTGAGGCCTCAACCCTACTGACAGTGCCAAGCCTCCCACTAAACCCCCAAGTCACCCTGGGCCCCACGTTTCCATACCCCACTGAATCATACAGCCCCCAAAGCATGAGGGTCAGGGTGTTGCCCCAAACCATCTGTTGAAGCAAAGACTTCACTCAGTTTACGCGGCTAAACAGACAGTAAATTACTTTGGCCAATAAAACAAAGTGAGCCAAACGTGGTCCCAGCAAAGTCGGGCCCAGTAAAGCTGCTAATACAATCAATCCTAGTATCTTTATACCCTTGACCAAACAGCCTGACGTCAGGGCATCCAATTACATGGTCCCCCAAATGTATCAGAAGGCACTTTTCTTAGCTTTGAAAAATATTTTTTTAAATTTCTACCATTCCTTGATCCCTATAGAATTCCACTGATTACTTCTGTATGAACTATATTTTAGCTGCCAGTCAAATTTTCATAATCCTTGGTCATCATGAATAGTCCTTTGTTCCATAAGTGGTTCCATTAAGATCGGTGAGATGGCTAATGGGGTAAGGTGCTGCTCAGTGTGAGCAGAAATACCAGCATCTAACCATTAAGATGGGCCTTTGGAAAGAAAATGTACACCGATTATATGGTCAAAATAAATCAAACATTTGTTAGGTTGTATGTCAGTACTACACAATCATTTTTTAATTATTGGTTCTAGGCCAGGGGCAGGTAAAATACAGCCTGCGGCCTAGATCCAGCCCAGAGCCCAGTGGGAGCCTTGGGCAGGCTCCCTGCTTGCCCTGCCCCCGCACACCACTCAAAGCGGCCATGAGCTTCTCTGAGCCCCGCGAGCCAGAGATATGAGGGTGGGAGAAGAGTCTTCAGGTTTAGTTTGGACATTAGGATAAACTTCTGTCCGGGTGGTAAGGTACTTAGAAAAAAATGCCTCGGGAGGTTGTAGAATCTCTATCATTGGAGACTTTAAAGAGCAGGTTAGACACACACCTGTCAGGGACAATCTAGATAACACTTAGTCCTGCCATGAGTGCAGAGGATTGGGCAAGATCGAGGTCCCTTTGGGTACATCTACACAACACCATTATTTCAGAATAACCGACATTATTCTGAAATAACACAGTGTGCATCTACACTGTGAGCCTTCGTTTCGAAATAATGGAGGACTTCTTACCCTGACTCATGGTAATCCTCATTTCACAAGGAGTACGGGAAGTTGAAGAGTGTTCTTCCTTTGACTTCCTGCTGTGTAGGCAGCGCCAAATGCTGAATTAAGCTATTTTGACTTAAACTATGCAATTGCTGTAGCTGAAGTTGCATAGCTTAATTCGACTTTAGCCCTGCTGTGTAGACGTACTCTTCAAGGCCTACACATCTATGGTTTTATTAGGTGAGGGGCCTAAACAACAGGCCAAGGTGTGTCCAAATATCTGAATAAATCCTTGTCTACACAAGAAACTTACATTAGTTTAATTAAAGTTGTGATTTTATACCAATGTAGCTAAAAAGCCTATATGGGCAGTTTTATTTTGATTTAGCATACTTCTGATAGGAATGTTTAAATTAAACCAAAGTAAGATATTTAAATTGAAATAAGAGCCTCTCCCTATGTTTTTTTTTAATTAAATCAGTTTTAAAACTGAGTCTTCAAGGCTTTACGTTTATTAATGTTCTAATTTTAGTTCTATGATTCCATTTTTTCCTGTATTGTTTTCAGATTTCACTTTTCAATAGTATATAACGTGGGTTTTTTTTTTTTACTGTAAGGCACATTATTTTCAGATCTATATAGTGAGTGTCTCCTGATATCTTCCCCACAACCTGCCATTCTAGTTAGTTGGTGTCTTCGGGCCCAGATCTGGCCCCCTTACTCACCTGGAGTACTTGCATACTCTGAGTATGCACACAGAGTCTAATTCTGATTGTCCTGCCTTGGCACTACTGAGCGGTCTAACTCTTTTAACAATATTGCTAGTATGATCCAATTTTGTATTAGCATTTTGAGTTTTGGGAAGTTCAAACTTCTGCTTACAATGATGAGTTCAGTCTGAAGAACACAAGATATTCTCTAAAGATTGTTCTCTTTTGATCTTGTGAAGATATTGCCGTAATCTTTCCTTCAGGATTGTCTTTTAAAGATCATAGCCCTAGCACAAGAACAAAGTGAGGCTGACAACAGTATTGTCAGAGGCAGATGATGAAATATTAATCCATGCTTTGTGACATCCAGGATGGATTACAATAATTCCCTCTTTGCAGGTCTCTTCTGGGCCTATCTTTACAAAATACATTGTGTACAGAATTCAGCTGGCAGGATTCTAACAGGTGCTGTGGACAATGGCAAGCTTTCCTGGCACTGGGCGCATAGCCTGGTCCCAAAGACCTGTATTAATTCTCTTTGTACTTTTTGTATGTTCACCATTCTATATGCATGTGTCCTTTTTTGTTGTCACATGCAGTATGTCTGTGGCCATGATAGCTGCTAAAAACACTGGAAACCTATCTCAAATCCTGTGTGCAGGCCTGCCAAGGGGGGAGCAAAGGGGTTAACTGCCTGGGGCCTGGCAATTTAAAGGGGCCCCAAGCTCTGGCTGTGGCCACTGCTACTACCCAATGCTTTCCTGTGCACTACTGTGTCTTCTAAAACCACAAGTTCACAATCTACATCTTCCTTTGCTTTGCCTGCATAGTGCTACCCGCACCTCCCTCTTTTTCTTGCAAGAGCAGGGACGGGGAACCTTTGGCTCCCAGGCCAGATCCACCCTCAGCTTGCCTTGCTCTGGCCCACAAGACTCTGGGTTCCTTCCCATAGTGGGGCAAGATAGTGCTGGTTCTCCAGCCCCATGGTGAGTCTTCACAGCTCAGTGCCTGCCACAGGGCTTGAGCTCAAGTGCCAGCTCCCTATTGTGGGGGTGGGGGAGCAGCAGGAAGCCAGTGCTGAAGTCCTACATTCCAGCTCTGCTTGGCGAGGAGGGAGGAAACAGCGCTGCTGTCCACTCCTCTCCCCGTCCTTCCCCCGGGGAATTGCACCCCAGGGAAGCGCTCATCTGCAGGCTCCAACCCTGTCACGCACTGGCTGGGAATTGCAGCCAATGGGAGCAGCAGGGGGGCAGTGCTGCTGTGCTGTGGAAGCAACCCAACCTTCTGACTTCTCCCTGATCCCCACTCCTGCGCCCCCACACCCTCCCCAACAGCCCCCCCAGCACACTGAACCCCTCATTTTTTGGTCCCATTCCAGAGCCAGGGGGGGGCACAAAATCTGCTAACCCCAGGAGTCAGGGTTGGGTGAGGAGAGGCTCAGCGCAGGGCAGGGGGTCTAGCGTGTGGGGTGGTGCAATAAGGGGGGGGTGGGGGGGACCCAGGCTGCTG